CAACTAGTTAAAAAGTATTGAAAGGTAACAAGTTTGTTCCAAATACCAGGTTGGATCATAACCCACAAACCAAAGTCTATGCTCATGTCATCTTTGATCAAAAAGTGAATAGAGCCATCAATCAATATGACGTTGTATTGACGACGATCACTATATGGAACATCTGGCCCTGAAATCTCACGGAACACCTCATTGTCAAAATCAAATGAAAGAAGGCCGCAGTCAGCAGCCCACGTGATCATCCAGTAATAAGCTCCATTAAGGTAACCAGTTGAATTGGGATAACTACAGGAGTAACAACCAGAGGTAGTGAGAATTCTGTGATCTTTATGTTTAATAAATCTCCAAGAGCCTTTAGAAGAGGAATAAACCGCTGCATATGCTCGATGAAACGAAGAATCACAGTTACCATCAGAGAACTGGCGAACCCAAATCACCTTGTAGTTACCTGTAAAAGGGTCTAATTCAAACCCGGCAAACCCATCCGTTTCATTGAAAAATGGTTGTAACAGGAAATGGGCGTCAGGGAGGATGGTTAACCACCTTGTTACAGGATTCCACAATCCCATTCTACGATCAGATCCACCACATGCTTTTTAAATAAAACACGCCATTCACATGGCCTACCATTTGATATGTATTAGCAAGAAAACTCGACAGATGATCAGCATTTTCAATTACAGGGGTCCCTTCCGAATTCGAAATTATGTCCACTCCGGGAATGCCATCATAGCTACGAATTAACATTTTCAGTTTATTCTTACTTTCATGATAATTCAATTGTTTACCAATAAACATATGGCTATTAATAAGACTGTACCAATTCTTGCTCGTGCATTTGAATCGCAACAATGGTTTCACAGGTAACCTTTGTAGTATCTCCATCGCCAAATCTTCACCCAAACGATGATCATTCTTAAATCCGGTATACATGTTCCTAGATCTAGATAAAAAAAACATACAGGGGGAAGAAAAAAATATATATTAAATTTTAATGGGAGAGAATTAGTGAATTGGCAGTGATTAGCGGATTAAATTAATGCTTTTATAATTTATTGGATAAAATATATTTTTCATGTATATAAATTGAATTATATAATTGATTAAATTTATTAGTGAAATCTTTGAAGATGAGAATGGAGAAGTATTGCCATTATACATTTTAATCCAAAATGACTTATTTTAAGTATTTTTTTCTTTTTCTATTTTTTGTGTTGTACGTAACTTGTATGGGAAGAATAAAAAGTACTAGTAGAGTATTTTTGAACAAAGTGCTTAATTTAGGAATTTGATAACGCACAACAACGACTCAGGCCGGTGGCCGTATTATCTTAGCAAATTAAAGGGCCAAAACAATGATGCCTTGTATTGTCATATATATAATGCAATTCCATTACTGAATCACTCAAACAACAGAAAGTCGTCAACAACAGATGCTGCAGCAATATATTGTGCAAAACAAGCTACTTAATTTAGGAATTTGACATTATTCCAGCTGCAATGTCCCAGCCTTAATTATTTCAGATGCTCACAGAGGAGTCAAATATGTTGGCCCAGATCCTCATTTACTCGTCCAATTGTTACTAAAGCTCTCCTTGCAATAATAAAATTCTACACCTACTTCTCTGGCTCTGATATCGAAATCTAAAATGCCTCATCTCCCCAACCTGAGCATCAGAGGAGACCACCCGAGAACTTCTAGTAAAGAAAATGACAGTGCTAGAATCCCAGAAGCCAATGTGAAATTACAGATTGATCGATCTATTCAAATTTTCTCATGGAGAGAAGGTTTGTTAAATAAAGACATCAAATTCTAGGTTTAAGAATTCAATGCACAGCCTTAAGAGACCTAGCAAGACTAAACTATATATACTCTTCTCGATGTTAATTGTCAATTCAATAGTGTCTTGTATTGGTATATTAACATTTTCAGTTTATTCTTACTTTCATGATAATTCAACTGTTTACCAATCAACATATGGCTATTAATAAGACTGTACCAATTCTTGCTCGTGCATTTGAATCGCAACAACGGTTTCACAGGTAACCTTTGTAGTATCTCCATCGCCAAATCTTCACCGAAACGATGATCATTCTTAAACCCGGTATACATGTTCCTAATAGATCTTAATAAAAAACATACAAGGGGAAGAAGAAAAAAAAATAGTATTAAATTTTAATGGGAGAGAACTAGTGAATTGGCAGTGATTAGCGGATTGAATTAATGCTTTTATAATTTATTATTGGATAATATATATTTTCATGTTATGTATATAAATTGAATTATATAATTGATTAAATACTTAAATCACAAATAAATATATTTTTATTAGTGAAATCTTTGAAGATGAAAAATGGAGAAGTATTGCATTATAGCACATTTTAATCCAAAATGGAGAAGATGACTTATTTTATTTATACTCCGTAGTATTTTTTTAGCATTAGTTTCTTTTTCTATTTTTTGTGTTGTAACTTGTATGGGAAGAATAAAAAGTAGAGTATTTTTAAACAACAGATGCAAAACAAAGTGCTTTAGGAATTTGATATTATGTCAAATGCACTTGAATTGCAACAACGACTACCTCCCTTTAATTTCCTTGAGGCCGGTGGCCGTATTATCTTATAAAGAGAGGGGTGAACCACCTATTGCAGAAGCACTTGAATCGCAACAGGCAACATTTCCTTTTCTAAATCTTCAACGAGTCTGCATAATGCTGGTGGCCATATATATTATGTTAGTTTATTAGCATTTTAATATTAATATTTTAATATATTAATTTGCTATATTTTGGAGTTAGAAAGATGCAAATTGTTTCAACAGTTAGTGGACAGTTTCATTGCTACCGTTGGTAGGCATTTGTGCCTAATTACTCACATTTGGTGTAAATGCCTTTTAGGCTTAATTGCCTAGGCTACTGACTAGCCGTTTGCTTACTGCCTTGGATGTGGTCTTCCAAGACCATTACTTCTCCATATTATTTCTCCATTATCTCATTCTTTACTCCTTCATTATTCTTGTAACCTATGTAACATATGTAACTCCTAAAGCTATTTATCTTCACTATTTACCACTCCATTATCTTCCTATTCATTGCTAGGAAGACTTCTTCTAGTATAAATAGTGGTGGTCTTCATTTGGTTTTGGCACACATAAAACACACAAGAAAAATATAGAGTGAAAGAGTTAGTCAAAAAGAGAGTTCTCATTAGTTGAAGGGAGGTGTTCTTTTTGTGGAGCTTTGGACTCAACTCTTGTCCAGAGTTGTTGAGTTATACTTTGTGAAGGCTATTGTATCCTGGAGGGGACAAGTCAAAGAGGACTACTGCTGGACCGGTGAAAAACATTTGCTGCAGTGGGCTTGAATCTCCTTAAAGAGAGCGAGATATCCGCGCCTCAGCCTAAAGATTTCTTTATTTTTATTTTCAATTGTAATCTTGTATTTTTGTTATCTTGTAAGTTTTTCAGTAACATATTACACTAGTTTATAAAGTTGGAGGCACCCTATAATTCCTCTACTTAACAGATACCAAGTATAAACTAAGAGAAACTAGAAACAATACGACTCTACAATAGCTATTTGAGCCATCGCTAAATGTACCGCAAATTAAATGGTTAAGCCCAACGCACTTGAAATTAAATTAGTAACTTACAAAAATAGTTAAGTTACTTACTTGCAAGTTGCAATATTATGAATTTTACTAGATTTTAACTCATACTTGAATTCAAAATTAAGTATAATTTGTAAATTTGTGATACATAAACAAATCTCCCTTAACTCCCTCCTTTCTCGCTAACTTGAAACCTAGTATGAAAATATTAATTAGTGAAACAATATGTAGTTACTTCAATCTATAGAAAACATTAATAATAAATATGGTGAAAATGCTTGTGTAATTAATAATTAATAATAACCGAGATGCTATAAAAGAAAAGCCGCTAATATGTAACAGATCTAAAGCAGCGATCACAAAAATATTTGCATTTTTCTCCATGTTGGAATTCGGAGATATGCACTCTAGCAGAAAACCAAGCAATAAACCATCTATACTCTTCTCGATGTTAATTGTCAATTCAATAGTGTCTTGTATTGGCATATTAACTTACGCAATCCCATTTGGAACAAAAAAACTTAAAGCCATGAATAAATCAAACTCATAAAAGACCGTTTTGATAAACCAAGTTGTCAACACTCAAACAATAGATGCAGCAATTGTGTAAAGCATCAATATTATTTCAATTGTTTATGGAGGAGGCAAGTATGTCAGGTAAGCTACAATGGTCTGTGTAGCTCCCTGTTTCCTCGCCTAATTGTTACTAAGCTCTCCTTATAAAAATAAACCATACATACAACCACAAATATCGCCCTGATGTCTTGTCTCATGAGTCATAAGAGATCATCTCAGAAGACAATGGTTGATATATACATCTCCCTCACTTAATTGTTACTAAGCTCTCCTTATAAAAATAAACCATACATACAACCACAAATATCGCCCTGATGTCTTGTCTCATGAGTCATAAGAGATCATCTCAGAAGACAATGGTTGATATATACATCTCCCTCACTTAATTGTTACTAAGCTCTCCTTATAA